GAAAACAAAGTCTATCAGTGGCCTCACTTTGCAAGCTAGGGAACTGAGGCTTTGGGACAGTACATGACTTAAAGGACATCCCACAGTCCCCCGTGTGCACAAGTGCCCTGACCACGTCTTCAGGAGCAATCCCTTCTGCCTGTGCACATTCATCTCGTCCCTACCCCTATGCCCGGTCCTGGAGACCTGGCACTGCATGTCTCTTCTGTATCCCAGACCAGCAGTCTGTGATGACTCCATGTTTCCATTTTCTGTGGCTGAGTATTTGCTTCATGTTCACCATTCACCCACGCCTGCCCTCATGCTGACCTTCCCACAACAGACGGTGATACCACTCCCAGGGCTGAAATGGTTAAGAGTAAGCCATAATCAGTTAATTCACAAATACTGGCATTCATATTGATAATTTATCATTATTGATTGGCTGTAACTAATCATAATCAATCATAATTTATAAACCATATCACAGTACATAATACAGGTAGCAATTCCACACTTCCTCAAGATGTACCAGTCCCCTGATCACCTGATGCCAACTAAGTTGTTTTCTTCTCATTGTATCTTCAATAGCAAGCTAAATAACTTGTCCAAAATTTTATGGATTGAAAATGAGCTGGGGCCCTGTGCTGTGGCATAACAGGTAAAGCCACCACTGCAACGCCAGCATCCCATATGGGCACCAGTTTGAGTTCTGGCTGCTCAACTTCAAATCCAGCTTCCTGCTAATGAACCTGGTAAAAAAGCAGAAGATGGCCCAAGTGCTTGGGCCCCAGCACCCACGCGGGAGACCTGGATGAAGCTCCTGGCTCCTGGCTTTGGATTGGACCAGCTCTGGCCATTGCAGCCATTTGGGGAGTGAACCCATGAATGAAAGATTCTCTCTCTCTCTCTTTCTCTCTCTCTCTGTAACTCTGCCTTTCAAATAAATACATAAATCTTAAAAAGAAAGAAAGAAAGAAAGAAAGAAAGAAAGAAAAGAAAGAAAAGAAAGAAAAGAAAGAAAAGAAAGAAAAGAAAGAAAAGAAAGTCATTTCAGCTGGACTCCAGACCCAGGGAGTCTGGCTCCAGAGTTCTTAGTTCAGGAGATTTTTGATGCTGTAGCTATCCACTACAGCCAGTTGAAAATGTTTGTAAAATCTGTAAAATTACAGTTTCATAGAAATACTTAAATTAAAATGAATGTGATCTAAGAGAGGAAGAGAGCTGTTTTAATTATAGGCTGGAGATATTCTGACATTCTTTTTGGAATCCCAGACAAGCATTGGGGGCCACGGGGCAGCAGATGAAGGGGAAATGAGTTGGACAGAAGTCCTAGGTGAAGCAGCATTACTCACCACCACAGACTACTGAGTGTTGGATACAGTGCACTTCCGAGAAGGGCGACAGTGACCTTCTCGGAAAAAGCAAAGCTGCATGGGGAGTGATCTCACCATTTTTACTAAGCATGTTACATTCCCACGGTACTTGAGACCTCTGACTATGATCATTTTATTTGGCAACAGTGCCAATTCTTGTAAGGTGCTGCATGCCAAACTATACAGTAAAATGTACTTTTTGTCAGAATATAAGGTTGGACTGTCTGGGTATCCTCAGTATAAGTATCTTTGTTCCTGTAGGCTAGGATCACATGTCAGCTTTGAAGCAATTCATTTCCCAATAGTTTCTCTGGCTTAGGTGTTAGGTATTTCACTTAACTTGAAAGCAAGCTATCAGGAACTCACAGTTCTATACCTTTATTTCATTTTGAAAGCTATTGTGAGTTGGGACCGATGCTGTGGCGTAGTAGATTAAGTTGCAGTCTGCACTGCTGACATCCCAGACAGCACCACTTTGTGTCCTGGCTGCTCATCTTCTGATCCAGCTCCTTGCTAATGGCCTAAGAAAGCAGTGGAAGATGACTCAGGTGCTTGGGTCCGTGGAACCGTATGGGAGACCTAGAAGAAGCTCTTGGCTCCTGGCTTTGGCCTGGCCCATCCCTGTTCATTGCAGCCATTTGAAAGTAAACCAGTGTATGAAAGATATTCCCTTTTTATCCTCTCTCTCCACCCCCCATAAGCTTCCTTACAAATAAGTAAATCTTTTTAAAAAAGAAAGATATTGTGAACAATATGTTACATGATATGCTTTAGGATTGATGCCTTGGGCTTCCAAAAGTTGAATAAGAAAATGTATTTGAGCAAGTTTCTCACAGAGTATCAGTAGTAAGGGTTTGTTTGTGTTTTTTCCTGATATTAAGAAAACCCCCTGAGCTTATATATTTATATTTATATTTATATTTATATTATATGAAATGGCCCACAGGTGGGTCAGTACATTATCATGCTGGAAATGGTGAGGGAGGAAATCACTTGTCAAGGTGATTCTTTGGTGTGGACTAATTCCCACCTCCCACCCAATTCAAGCTCTCCAAACTGAAAAGTTATTGGGCAATTGCTGTAAATTGTTCAACCTATATTGCACTTGGAACATTGCAAAAGTGATGCTTTCATTTTTCTCATGTGTAAAATGGAGAGAAATAATTATATCTCTAAATGTTATTTGCCTCAATTATTTGTACGTATATATTTCAGAATTAGTTGGCATGAGTTAAGTTTCAACTATGAGTGATTCTACAGTGATGGGAATATTATGGATTCAGAAGGACTTCTATAGGCATTTAGGAAAGCATGTTGTTGGAAAAGTTGTGGGGTTTGTTCCCTATTCCAAGTATCAAAGATGTTTTAAAAGTAGTGCTAATATTTCATTCTGCTACCTGAAGGATTGTTTTGTCCGTTTTCCTCAAATAAAGCATTAGAGATAAAAGTGAAGTTCCCCTTCTCCTCTTCCCAGAGTCACTTCTGCCTGCTTGCCCTGGAGGCCATATCTGTCATCAACTTACTGTCTTTTACATCCACACATTTATACTCCCTCTGTCTCATTTCATGCATGTGTGTTCAGGCATGTGTGTAGTGTGTGTGCATGTGTAAGTCTATAGATAATAATACTTAGTACATATTATTAAAATGTGTTGAGAACTTACGATGCATACTTATGTGCAACTTGTGTTTTTTACTGTATGTTTTGTTTTTGAGAACAACATATATATGAATAATCTATTTTTGTGCTGAATAGTGTTTATTTTGTATATATGTCACATGTAGCATGCAATTTTATTATTATGTTTCTTCATTTCCTATTGCTAGATACCTAGGTTATTTCATTATTTTACTACTAGTAAAATATAATTTTGGACAAGTGTCCTGGGCCCCAGGTGCAAGGGTTTACCTGGAGTGTCTACCTAGAAGCAGAACTGCTGGGTAATTGAACATCTATGTGTGTAAGATATTGCCTCATAGCTTGCCCAAGTATTTCACTAATTTACTCTCCCACCTAAAATATGTGAGAGCTATTTCTCCATCTCTTCCCCAACACTTAAACCAATCAGATGTTCAAATTATTTGACAATGTGAAATAAAGTGGGAAACTATATTTTAATTTTGTCCCTCCAGTTATTTTAACAAGTGCAGGGAAGGGGGCGTCATATGTTTTAGTTTTCTTCCACTTTGAAGCATCCATACCCATTTGATTTTTAAATCAGTGTCTTATTGACTTGTCAGACCTTACTGTATGTCCCGGAAACTCACCTTTAATAAGTTTATACACTGCAGAAAATGGCTTGTTTTTCAGCTTTGTTCATACTGGGATTTAATCTTGATGCAAGCCAAATCTGTGACTAGAACAGTGAACTCTGGAACTGGAAGCCCAAGTTCATTACCCTGGCTTTACTCTTTTCTGACCATAGGATCTGCACTAACTCCTTAGCATCTGCTTATCTCAATGTCACTACCTGTAAAATGAGGATATATTACTTCTCTCAAAGGTTTTTGTCCTGAAGTTCAACCTTCAATCAGAATATTACCTAGTACAAAGTTAGAGTCATGTGTTATCAGGATTTTTGTTTTTTGATATATTGCCTTTAAAATCCTAGCATCATTGGTATCTGCATATGTTTAAAGGTTAAATATTACTTACAGTAGTCTTTGCATTTTTCTGATAGTTACTGGATTATGGAACTCATACATAGGTATGTTTATGTGTGAACTGATCTACATCACACTACATCTTTTCTAATTTTGATTATTTAGGGGTGATTTGTGTTTTGGAGAATAGCATCTCAGCAATGAAATCAAACATTTCCTGAAAGTGAGCTGCATTTAAGTTACAATGGCTTCAAAAATGATTTTTCTATTATAGTAAATTGAATTATGTAATACAGAGAAGATTCACCACAGGTAATTCCTAAATACCTAATATGAAAGTATCTCAGAAGCATAATCCATGTTTATTGAATAAATAAATCGTTTGTGTTTTAAAAAATCATCTACCTTTGAGCAATTTTTAAAGAAGGAATCAATGCATAAAATATGCAATTGTGTAGAGTAGGTACTCTCTCTCCCTTAGTAGAGAGAGTAAGTGTGCACTTAAAGGAAATAAAAATCTAAACCAGCTTTCTCTTGGGACTTCTATTCTCTGTGATCAGTCATACTTTTAATGCATTTTAACTGTGCTAAAGGAATCAGGAAAGGCGTTGAAGTGATTAATGCCTTTTGTTTGCCCAAAAGGAAGGTGCCTCTTAGAGCAGGTAGCTTTATGTTCACTGCCAATGGTAGTTTTTTCCATTTTAATAAAATAATAGTTTCTTCTTATTTCTGTTGCATCATAAAATTGAAGCACTTTTTGAAAGAAATGAACAGAAAAATAAATGTTATACAATAGTATGATTTGTAGTCCTACACATAAAACTACCCAATGTTGTAGATGAGCAGACAAATCCCAGCGGATGATGGAAAGCTCTGACATGGTCTTATTTGCGTTAGCATTGCCCAGGACATTGTCTTCCAGCTTTGTTTTGTGGGCATGGAGGGCAGAGAGCAACAAATGCCATCTGAACACAAATGATGGAAAATTTCTGTATTGGTCAGTGTGCCATTCCACACAATCAATAACCCTCCAATTTCAGATTTCCACACAATGGTTTATTTCTTTTTGCACTCTGTTTCCTGTGGGCTGGCCCATGTATACAGTACACATGGCTATTCAGGGACCCATCTCAACCTGGGACTTGAGAGAGCTGTAGACTTCACATCGGCCCTTCTGTGCTTGCATGGGAAGTGGCATTTGGCATTTCCTCTCACAGGTTTTCCTTGGGCAGCTTGGTCCTTGGTGTGCCTGTAAGGAGAGGAGAGCAGGACTTGGGTGAGCCCTGGAAATAGATTCCACTGACTCTCATTCCTTCTGCTTTAGATGGGTGATAGCTTGAGTGAATTTCCTTGCCGGACTTTGGGTTGTGAATGAAAAGTTTGAACTTTGCAGTAAGATTAGTTTAAATTTCTGCTGAGTTCCTTGTTAGCTGTGTGATCAAGTTATTGAAATCACTAAGTCTATTATTATCTATCTATAAAAAGAGAGACATTTATGGTTGCTCTGAGTTAGCAAGATCCTGGCATACAGTATAGACTTACTTAATGGCTATTCTGGTAAAGGAATGTAATAGTATAGAGATGGTAGGAAATCCTGAAGGATGTAACATGAGCATTCTTTATGTATCAGAAAAAAATTACTGTATCAGTACCCTGAGGCTGCCATAACAGATTACCACAACTGGCCTTACATAATAGAAATTTTGTCTGTCACGGCTTTGGAGACCAGCAGTTCAATAACAAGGTGTTAGCAGAGCCGTGTTCTCTATGGAGGCTCAGGGAGCGGTCATTTCCTTAACTCTGGAGTCTGATGGCTCCAGGCATCCCTTGGCTTGTGGCTGAATCACTCTAATCTCAGCCTCTGCCTTTACGTGGCCTCCTCTGAGTATGTGTGTCTCCACTGGAGTTTCTTATAAGGATATTTATCTTTAATTTAGGGCCCAGCCAGATGGTCCAGGTTGATCTCTGAAGAACGTTAATCTGTTTACATCTGCATGAAACCCTTCTTTCAAATAAGTTACCATTCACAGATTTCAGGGTTTTAATGTGGACTTTGCTTTTGGCAGAGGGGAATCGCCATTCAACCATCTACAGATATGAAAGTATTCCAAATCCATCGAATGTAACACTTTGAATAGTATACCACCTTGAGAGGTTTTCCAGGAGCTCTAAATTCGTAGTGATCATTAAGGAAATGAAAATAGTTACTTATTTTCAAAGTTAGAAACACATAAGGATTACCATGGAAGCTTATTTCACAATGCAGATTCCCAGCCTAACCCATAGACTTTCTGATTGTCTAGGGTTCTGGGACCTAACACATATATTTAAGAAGTGTTGTGGGTGATTCTGACGCAAGTAAGCATTTGGAGTTGCTCAGACTTGATATTCCTAGGTTCTAGACCAGCTTTTACAAATGGCCAATGGAATTGATCATTAAGCACTGGAATTCGGTAGTCACATCCTTGAAAAATAATGACTAATGGCTTTCGTAGATGATAAAGCAGAATGACTATGGTCCTGACTCACTGTGGTGATTCTTGAATTTAAGATGAGACTGCCTTGTAATAAATGCCTCTTACTAAGTGAACTTGGCCTGCAAGTTTCAAAAACCTGTTTGTAGGGTTGCATTTGTATTTCAAGGGTTAAACTTTGTAGTTGGATTCTACTTTAATATAATGTCCCATCTTTGTGATACAAGAAAGAGTTGCATTGGGCTGAATTTGTAATGTTATCATTTCATGTATCCATTCTGTCTGTAGCTCTCATCATTGCATAAAACCATTTTCCAGCATGTGCATATGGATTGGCTCAAGAGAAAGGCATTCAATAAAAGGCATCTGTCTCTAAGGGACTACTCTTGTATTCATTTACATCAATCATGGCTCTTCTGAACATTGATTTATACCACAATTCCCCTTTTTCCCTCTGCAAATGTATTCAGAAGCTACCTCTAAGGGACAGATTAAAGATCCAAAATCCACTTACCGTTGAGAAACTGATGAGCTATTCATAGAAGCCGCTTGATCAGAGTAAAAGATCTACTGAAATAAGAGTAGAAAATCGTTCTCAAAATGATGTCTGTCAATAATTGACTTCTAGTTTTCTCACCAATTTTGACATATAAAAAGGAGCATGTAGGAAGAGTTCACATACCAGTGAAAGAGTCGTTCATGTTTAGAAGTGTTACATTTATTTATATATTTCAAATATAAAAAGTCATTCAAAATAGGGCTATATAACTTACATGGATCCACTCTGTACAGTGTCTGATATAACATGTATATGAACAATTCTTTTGGCCTAGATCATCTCACATGATGTATTGTGAAGTGATAATTTTATAATTATAATCAGTTGGTAGTAAAGTATTTTAACTTTAAAAGTCAGACTTATATTTTAAAATAATTAAAATTGGGTAAAAACTGCATATACAGAGAAGCTATTGTAAGGAATGTGTCTAATGTGTTGGGCTTTGCAAAAAATGAGATGGTGTTGTGAAAACTACTGAACATTGTCCATTTACATTGCACTAATCCCATTGGATCAAAAAAATGTACAATAAGTGGATGAAAATTGAGATTATATCAAAATTGGATCCCTTTTATCAGTGAGGAAATAAAGGAAGTGCCAGTGAGCCAGCACTACTACTCTAATGTGCCTTTGTGTCTTATAATCTAGGATACTTTATTTTCTAATCAATGAATTATATCTGTGTATTCTCTTTTTTACAGTTCAGCAGAAGAGCAGTTTCATTGGCAGTCACAAGGTAAAGTATAGCTTTTTGATGAACACTTGCACTTCTATATATATTCCACTGATTAATTTTCTTACAACCTTTAGGAAGAGACTTATAACAGTGAATAGGAAAAGAAATATGACACAGGGTAAAGGTTAAATGAAGTTGATATGATAGCTCATAACTTATGGCGAGTTCTTGAGTAATTTTATATTCTTCAAGGATGCATGGAATTGACTGACCTTGGTTTGAATGCTTGATTGTGAAGGGTTGCAATGTGATATCAAATAAAAACTCCATAGAGATCATACATTTGTTAGAATAATTTTTATGGTTAAATGATGACCTAAAGCTTTAACATTAACATATCTTATGTTTGTTTATCACTTTAAAATATTTTATTTCAGATGGTCAAAAAGATATCGAAGATGAACTTACAACAGGTCTTGAACTGGTGGACTCATGTATTAGATCACTGCAGGAATCAGGAATATTGGACCCACAGGATTATTCCACAAGTGAAAGTGAGTTAAGCAGCAATTACACTTGAAGACAGTTAAAATGTAGGAGTATTATGTCATTATTTTTCCAATATAATCAATATCATGTACCATAACTAATTAGGACTTAAGGTTATTTTTGTACTTGCTTTATCCATTTCACTCCACTTTCAATGACTCTGTTCATACCTTACCCCACCCAACTGACGTTGGATGATGAACTCTCTTAAGTCAGTAGTTAACATCTAGACTTGTCACCAATTACTGATACACCTGTGATGCTCACCAATGCTCTGATACCCTTTTCAGCACCAAGGCTAGCACACTTTACAAATGCATCATTTGTTTGTTCAGTAAACAAAAAGTTTGCTTTAAAATTAACTATAAATGCCTTATTTATACAGATCACTGTGAGTAGAGATCTTAAAAAACAGCATTTACATAACAAAATAGAAAAAAACAATGTAATACAGACAATATTAACTATTTAGTATTATACTAAAGTAATATGCAATTGTTACATTTCTTTTTTAAAAAAAAATTTGTTTATTTTATTTGAAATGCAGAGTACAGAGAGAGAGAGAGAGAGGGAGAGACAGACAGAGAGAGATCTTCCATCCACTGGTTCACTCCCCAAATGGCCACAGCTGCTGGAGCTGTGCCAAACCTAAGCCAGGAGCCAGGAGCTTCTTCTGGTTCTCCCACATGGGTGCCGGATCCCTAGCACTTGAGTCATCCTCCACTGCTTCCCCAAGCACATTAACAGGGAACTGGATTGGAAGTAGAACAGCTGGGACTCTAACCAGCGTCCATATAGGATTCCAGCACTGCTGCAGGCAGTGAATTAACCTGCTATGCCACAGTGCCAGCCTCACTACTTACATTTCTGTATTTAACTTTGACTTATTGTATGGATTCCAATAGAATATTTAAATATTTCTTTATCTCCATTTATATATTTTTCAACAAGAGTGGTTGAAACTTATTAATACAGACTGTTAGGACTTGAAATGTGCCTCTTTTTAATAAATCATAAAATTCTCTGGACTTACTTTAATGAAATCTCACAAAAGGTAAAAATTAAATCAGTAAAACATACATTACCCTAGTAATTTTATATTCAAAGTTGTTGAAGCATTTTATCCCTTAACTTAAAAAAATAAAATTTCCTCCAATGCCTATTAAAGTTTGTCATAGAAAAGGAAGACATAAGAACAAGATAGCATATTTATCTTGAAAACCATTTACTTTTTGTATTAGCTAATTTTCTCTAATTTTCTAATACCACTACTCCTAAGATAACATCATTATGAATATTAAGATTTATTTACACCCATATGCATCCCCTTAATTTTTAAATAAATTATATGGTTGATATTATGCTTGTTCTCATTATTTCATATTTTTAAAAGCACATTGTTACCTGTTCTCCCTCAGACTCATTAAATATGTTTCTCTTGTAGGGGTAATTGTAGCTACAATGCCTTTAATGTTTGAAACACATGTAGAAATGGAGTAATGTATCTTGCAAGGAAAGGGGCATGATGGTGAATATCTCACCTTTCATAAAATAACAGAATAACATAATTGATTGTTAGTTTATGACAAAGGGTAACCTATAATAAATGGAAGGTACAGAAAAGAGAATGCAAGAGTCACGTAAGGCATAAGCAATTATTATAAAGGGTAATTCAAGTATATAAGTTTAATTACAGTAAACACACTGAATTTTTCACTACAAAGAATAAGCATTAAAATTTCTAGTAAAGATAAAACAGTTATGTGATATTTTATAGAGTCACACTTAATGAAATAAAAGCTGAAATTAGACAGAGTCACACCAGCAAATACAATGAATTCAAAGTGTCGGATTAGATGAATAATATGAAATCAAGTAGAATTTAGTACAGAAGCACTGATGAGCGTCCTCGAGTGAAACTAACTTATACAGACATAATCAACTCACACAAAAGATAAATGAACATGTATGCACCAAACAGCATAACATCTGTTATGAGTATTAACCCAAAACATTAAAAATATAGAAATTTATGGAAAATATTATTGTAGACACGTCAGTGCACATTACTCCAATAGAATACTAGGAGAAAAAAAAAACACTAAAAGTTGGAATAAAAAACTAACAAGTGAAAGTATTAAATAAATTTTCAGATTTTATACATTGAAAGATAGCATACATTTATTATGTATATCCAAGGGAAACTTAGAAAAATTGATAGGATACTGGAAGATACATAGGCAAAATCCACAAAAATAAGAGTCAATAAAATAATAAGCAAAAATGTGATCAGATTAAACTAAGAAACATGCTGGTTATCTACTGAATAATAATGGAAGCAAAAACAAAATTACTTACATAAGGCAAATAAAGCAGAAACATTCTATGATTAAAAGTGTATTCAGAGGAAATCTTTATTTTAAAAACAGACAAAATGAAGACATGTTGCATTTATTTTTGATAAATCTTTAAAGAACTTAAATAAATTTTTTAAAAAAAGAACTAGGAAGATGAAAATGATAAAAGCAATGCAAGAGAAGGTACTGTCAAATAAAATAGTAGAAGAGATAATTAAGTGCTAGAAGAGATAAATGCATAAAATAAATAGAAATTTTTTTAAAACTGTAGAACAAATGATAAAAGCAAGCTTTCTTTGTTCAGAAACTGTTACACCTAAGACAAATGGAACGGATTTTTGGTATTTACTTTTGTTTACCTGCAACATGTATTCAAAAGTCACCAGCAAATAGTGTATCTTTATTATAGGTAAATTAAATACTCTAGTAGGATTTTTTTACAAATGTTTGATAACTGCTAAATTTTTATTTTTTAGAAAGGTTAATCACTTCATTTTATTATATATTCTGAATTATCTTTTTGAAAATGCCTAAGATATTAGTTGATTATTATTTCTGTAAGCTCCTGCACCCTGGTTTGAAGAAAGGAAAAGAAATAAAACAAAAAGAAAGTGATCAAAATATCACCCCCAAATTTTGTGCCAAAGGACCGTGCACCATAGTGAAATACAGATTTGTTCCTTAAGAAACATCTCATTTTAACATTTCAGGTTCCCATTAACATTGAAGTCACTGAGTAAATTTTAGGTAGATAATGTTTAAGTGCTGGATAGATAAGGATCACTTAGGGCATCCATTCTGCTAATTCAAGGTTTAGGAGGCTCCTGTATATGGGTAGGGTGCAGGAGGAATAAAGGTTCTACTCAGAGTTTACCTGAAGGGAATTTAATGATGGGACTTATTTACAAAGCAGTGGGTAGGATTAAGGGAGCAAACAGTGCATGGTGGGGTAGACAGGGGATGGGAACACACAGAAAGAAGCCCTCACCACCCTGAGACTTGCAGGGAAATTGAGAAACCCCTAGCCCAGTTCAACAGCTTGGACACAGCAGGGGATTGCCCCAGCCAGAAGCCAAAGAGCCAGTCTGTGGGGGGCATGGGCAGGGGATAATCAACACCACAGCCTACTAAATAATAGAACAATTGACCGTATGTATGTCCTTGGAGTAGCAACATAGCAAATAGATAGGTAGTGACTCTTTGACACATTTCACCTCATTAGGGAAAGTCCCTTGTGATTATTCAATCAGCTAGAATAGCAATGAATTAGCTAGTGCTAAATTGAACCTGGCACTCTGCCTTTGAGAACCAGCCTCTTAATACCAACTCAGAAGGGACTAAAATAATGTTAAATAAGTTTAAATCCAGCCTGAAAATAACTAAAATGCAAAGCAATCTCAACCACTTAATTTGTTGCAGTTAAAAGCTTTTCCTATTTTTCATCCAAGGGCTCATTGAAACAAAATTTGAATTCTAGTGACCCTGTCTTCCTGACCCTAAAGCAAGCAGTAACTGTTGTGTAGCTATCCGTGTGTTCTGGCATTTTGGATGCTTTTTAAAGTGCTATCCTAAACAGTATGTAAATCGTTTGTACAACCTTTGCCATCCACCACTTACTTGAGACTGCCGACTGTGTTGTTTGGATTCTAACAAATATGTGTCACTGAGTCACGGGGAGAATTGCTTCAGAGATTGTTCTTGCTTTACTGGGACAAAACAGAATGCAACAACCGCAGCAAAAAGCTGTTTGCTGTCGGGAGGTCGGGGCCATTAGCTCCTCACGTGATGCCTAGCGTGGCCAGAATGCACCATGTCCTTTATTAGTCCATACTTCCTTGGAGATACAAGCAGAGAAAAGGTTGATTGTACTTTGGGCAGTCATTAACAAACATACTGTCATCAAAATTGGAAATAGAAAGGGCAGCTTAGAAAAAAACGGCTTATCTTAAATATTGTATTTTCAAATAGTAATTATCTCTGTAGCATATTAAGAATTAATATTCAACCCTTTTCTAGAAAAATATGTTCTTCAGTGGGAAGAAAACCTTAGGGCCTAATGTAGGCTGAATATTGTAGTGAAAAAGCATGTCATCAGACTCTGAGTTTTCAAATCAGAATGTGTTTAAGTATCAGTTCTCAAGCATGTGGATTAGCATTCGGAGCAGGCAGAATCCAAATAGAATAATCATATGTAGTTTGTCAGAGGTGAATATATTATTCACTGTTGATTTACAGCGCATCATTTCATTTAATGACTGTGAATATCCTTAATTCACAAGAGAATCTTTGACAGATCAGGTAATTAAAATGCTATAAAAGGTAATCCCATATATTTTTATGCAACAACAATAATCATAAAGGTGAGAGGCATCGTTCTGAAGTGAATGATCTTGTAATTCCTGGTGAGCATGGCACACAAGGAAGCAGAAGCAGTCTAGGGTGTAAGGTTTTCAGAAAAATTACATGAATCAAAATGACAAAAGCATTAACTTCATTGGCTCAGAACACAAGAGCTCATTTGTTTGCTATGTTTTATGTTATAGTAGACACCAGGGCCATGAACCCTGGGCAGAGGCAGAGACCTGAATTGAAAGCCCACTCCTTCCTGTCTCCACCAGTGGCCAGGGCCTGTGGCCTGACATCTGGAGAACCCACTTCTTGAAAAAGCATCGCTTTAAGTTAGCTGAGCTCATCTCAGATCGCTTGTTCCCTGTGAAATCGCTTCATCATATCCTGTTTGGTCCAAGTTCTTAAAACACAGCCAGGACCACCTCCTTCCCGGAAGTGTGTCGCAGCATCCAGGTCTGAAGCTGTTGGCTGCATCGCCTTGATTTCTTTCAAGATTCACTTACTCTCACTTCTCTCAATACCCTTGGTGTGTGGAGCGGGGCGGCAGGAAGAGCCTCGGCACAGATAGGAAGTGTGAGCAGAGGCAGAGGGAAAACAGGTGGATCCCGGGAAGAAACAGAACCCTCTAGAAAGCTTCGATTATCTTCCCTTTACTTAGATCCCACGGAGGTTTCCCTGCACCACATAGATGTTTAAGAAGCAGTTTGTGTCTTTCCAAAGTGGTCACTAGCTCAGAGGGAAACCTTCAAATGGAAGGAAGAGACAAAGGTGACATGTTGGAAAAGGTCCTTGTCATTTCCTAAGCCGGAGAAAATTTCAGATTTCTCATTAAACACACCGCTCTCACCTGGGTTAGCCATGTCTTCTGGGATCAAGCAAAGTGCGAGCCTGGCTGGAAGTTCCTGGTTTTGAAATTGTCAAGGCACCACAGATGCCCAAAGCACAGATAGGAGGATGAAAGTCAAGCTGGTCAAAGTGTGGGCAGTAGCAGAGCAGGCAGTGCAGGAGTAAAAAGCAGCCACCACCTCAGAGTCCCTAGAAAAAAGCTGTAGAACAAGCAGCCTTTCCCCTGGGAGGCTGTGGAAGAGGGGTGGTCTCCAGGAGATGCCCCCTAAATACTAAAACATTACAGTCACTGAATGAATTACTGACCTGGGTTTTAGTATATCACTGTAGGCACGGGTGGGTGATACTGGCATTCCTTCTGTTAAGTGTTCAGAATAAGCATTTATTGGCAGTCAGTATCTCGCCTCATGCCATTTGCACACTAACAAGAAAGGCTGGAATCGACTCTGTGCATCTTGGAAGGTCAGGTAGATAATGGCCTAAGGAACATTGGAGTCAGGCTGCCAGGGTTAGGGGATGAGTACATCCATGCACACATGGCTTTTAAAAACATTCATGAAAATGCATGTCATAAAACAACTATACATGGATTTCTAAAAGTTTTTAAACCAAAATAATTATCTTTTCATTGCATTTTGCTGTGAACATTTAGAGAACCCTTGTGGAGCAGGGCTCCTCACAGTGTGCTTGGAAGTCCTGGAGGTCCCTGTGGCCCTAGCAGGAGACTCTCAGAGTCACAGTGTCTTCCCGGAAATAGTGAGAGCGTATGCCTTTCCATGCCTTTTCTCCCGTGAAGGTCCCCAGTGGGGTTTTCCAGAAAGCTCGTGACATAGGATAGGTTTGCTGTTTTGATGGCTCAGGGACAAGTGCTGAGCATTCTCCTCTTTGAAACATCTCCAATAAATAATATTATATATGGCCCATATCAGGGAAAGCTCTTGAGGACCTCCATAACTTTTCAGAAAGTTTGGGAATCCCTGGAAGAGAGGATGACGTTGGATGGGAGGCCAGAAGGAAGTGCACATGCAAGCCATACAGAAATCTGGGGGAGAGTCTGTGATGTTGGGCAAATCAACAACTTGGTCTTGTTTTTATTTTTTTTAAGATTTATTTATTTATTTATATGAAAGTCAGAGTTATGTAGAGAGAGGGAGAGACAGAGAGAGGAGAGAGGGAGAGATCTTTCATCCACTGGTTCACTTTCCAGATGGCCATAGTGGCCAGAGCTGGTTTCTCACAAGGGTGTCAGGAACCCAGACACTTTGGCCACCTTCTGCTGCTTTAACCAGGCCATTAGCAGGGAACTGGATCAAAGGTGGAGCAGCCAGGACTCAAACCAATAACCCATATGGGATGCCAGCATCACAAGCAGTCACTTTACCCGCTACACAACACTGGCCCCTACAATTTGTTCTTTAAATCAGTTTAATCCCATATATAAATTGTAGCCTTCATTGGATTGAGATCATAGGTTTGGTTTCTTCAGAATTGATGTGTATTAATTTTGTATTTCTTTTTACAATTATGGAGAGTGAGAAATGTGAATCTCCTCTTGAGACAATTTATAAAGAAGTACTGCTTTTCTTCTCTTGGTGCTATATTAATTTTTAATGATAAAACATCCAAAGACAAAACTTTATAAAGAAGTAATTGGGAACTGGAGTGAGCTATAAAAATACCATTCTGTGATTATAACACATAATATCCCATGCACAATAAAATCCTTTAGTTATATATTTGAAGTTTAGTTTTGATATAAATGTAATTTTGCTCATTGTCTGAAACTGAATGAGTTATTGCACAGTATGAACACTTTGCCAATCTTGGATTGTTCTACCTATAATAGTAAAATTTGAAAAAGCTTACTAATTAGGCCAATAAAATCAGTTGAATCCAAAAGCAGCTTAGAAACTAAATGAGTACGTTTATATTTCTGGCACCATTAAAGTTCTGATTTTCACATAAAGGAATACACATGGAAAGCAACTGGCTAAGTGACGTAGATGTTCTGCAGATGATAACTAGGAATGGGGCCAGCACTGTGGCATAGCCTCTGTCTGTGGCACTGGCATCCCATATGGATGCTGGTTCATGTCCCTGCCACTCTTCATCTGGTCTGGCTCTCTGCTATGGCCTGGAAAAGCAGTAGAAAATGCCCCAAGTGCTTGGGAGACCCAGAAGAAGCTCCTGGCTCCTGGCTTTGGATGGGCTCAGCTCTGGTCATAGCAGCCACTGGGAAGTGAACCAGTGGATGGAAGACCTTTCTCTCTGTCTGTCTGTAACTCTGCCTCTCAAATAAATAAGTTAATCTTTAAAAAAAAAAAAAAGGCTAGGAGTGGGAGTTCAAGCCACCCTGCCTGTGGAACCCCCACATCAACTGCAGCCTCCCTTGCCTAACAGCCCCCTGGAGCGTCTTGCCTTGGCTAATCTGTGGAACAGCAGAATAGTGAACTACTCTTTCAGGGAATGTCATGGATGAACTCCTCCTCGCGAGGTATTTCAGTTACTACTGAAGACTAGAAGGAACCGCCAGGTGATCACCACTCGCTACCTCTTGTCCTAAGTGTGTAGGTTGACAAGAGCTTCCAGAATTCTCAAAGAAGCAACTTGTGCTATAAATGACACTGACCAGTAGAGTCACTGAAGCAAGGTCAGTGTTTTTTTCTTACAGTGAATTTACAGTTAGCTGTGACTAGTGTCTAGGTCAGCTCAATAATCTCACAAACTTGAATTTTTCTCATTGGTTATATAATTTATAAAAGCCCTTTTTATATAATTTCCATCACCCAGTTCCTTTATTCTTACCAAGTATTTTCTATCAAAATATTTCCCTTTCTTTGTACTTAGTGTTGCTCTGAGAATTACTCTCATTTAAGTAAAATAATTCTTTTTTTTTAATTTGAAAGTCAGAGTTATACAGAGAGAGGAGAGGCAGAGAGAGAGAGAGAGGTAGAGACAGAGAGAGAGGTTTTCCTTCCGATGGTTCACTCCCCAATTGGCCCCAGCAGCTGGAGCTTCGCCGATCTGAAGCCAGGAGCCAGGAGATTCTTCCAGGTCTCCCACGTGAGTGCAGGGGCCCAAGGACATGGGCCATCTTCTGCTGCTTTCCCAGGCCATAGCAGAGAGCTGTGCTGGAAGTGGAGCAGCTGGGACTTGAACTGGCACCCATATGGGATGCTGGCGCTTCAGGCCAGGGCGTTAACCCACTGCGCCACAGTGCCAGCCCCTAAGTAAAAAAATTCTAATTCAAATTGTGCTTAATCTTCCACCAACACCAGATATGGGAGTATAGAAATGAGTTCCCCTTCTCCACCAGTCACAGTGTTTGTGTCTGTGTGGTTGTTTTCATGACCTACATAAAAATGTGTCTTTAAATCATTGTTAAGAGTAAATGTAGCCTAAGAGTAAATAATGTTTCTGTGATTTTTGACAAACACAGATTTAAACAAAGCTGCCTCTGTGAGGTATCCAGTCCTGAACTTGTCCATCTCAATTTGTGTGCTTAATTCTTTTGATTGACCTGAAGTAACAGCCTCACAAAACATGTTCAAGACCCGAGCTTTTTTCTGTTCATGCTTTCTTGTTAATGGCAAACTAATCCTTTGGAGTTAAATGTATGAATTCTATCTTGCTCTTGTGACTTTCCCTTCCACTATTGATGACCTTGACAGCTACACCTGTGCCTAAAACTTTATTTGCATTTATTTATCAGACCTTGGAAATTATTTCACACCGAGAAAGATTAAGTTTGTCTAGTTCAGTTAGAGCCGGTATTAAAATCATGCCAGCTTCCCATTCTAACAACTATACATAAACTCCCACCATCTTAACTCTGAGAAATTAAACCTATCTTCTCCAAAAACTGATCCCTAATACACACACTCCTTCCCAGCCTTCACATAGGAGTTTTGCAGGATGAGAGCTTCAGCTTTTTACTCTGGTTTATTTAATTTGTTGTTTTCTGAGACAGATGTTTGGCTTAGCAGACCAGCACATCACCTTACAGTGAATAGACACAGATGTGTCACTAAATCACAGGTCTCAGTGAGTTTTCATTTAAAATGATTATTTGTCTAAAAATTTGTTTCTTTAAAAGGCAGAGTGTCCAAAAGAGAGGGAGAGACAGGGAGAGGGAGAGGGAGAGACAGGGAGAAGGAGAGACACACAGAGGGGAAGAGAAAGGGAGAGATCTTATGTTTACTGATTCAGTTCTCAAATGGACACAAAGACTGTGGCTGAGCCAGGCAAAAGCAAGGAGCCTGCAGCTCCATCCTGGTCTCCCACAGTGGTGACAGGGTACTTGGGCCACCCCTGCTGCTTTCCAGGTCCATTAGTAGGGAGCTGGATCAGAGGTGGAGCAGCCAATGCTCTTTATATGGGATGCCAGAATTTCAAGTGGTGGCTTTACCTGTTGTGCCACCACTCTGGTCCCCAAATAATTCTTTATTATGAACCATTCTATCCCTCCCTAATGCCACCCAACCCTCCTTAATTACTGCAGATTTGTATGCTTTGCAGTGTGAGGAATCCTGCTCTTTGGTCTCTCCTCCCTGTAAACACAGCATTGTACTGTCAATCACGTTAAAAATCGAGAATCAGGGCTGACACTGTGGTGTAGTGGGTAAAGCTGCTGCCTGCAGTGCTGGCATCCCATATGGCTGGTTCAAGTCCCAATTAGTCCACTTCTGATCCATCTCCCTGCTAATGTACCTGGGAAAGCAGCAGAAGATGACCAGAGTCTTTGAGCCTCTGTCCCCACATGGGAGACCTGATGGAGCTCCTGGCTCCTGGCTTTGCTGTGGCCCAGCCCTAGTCACTGGGGCTACTAGGGAGTGAACCAGCAGATAAATCTCTGTCTCTCCCGCTATCTCTCTGTAACACTATCCTTCAAATATATAAAATAAATCTTAAAATCCAGAATCTCTGCTTTCACCCTATTCTCTTCCTTCCTAATAACCTGTTACTGTGTAACACCATGCATATTCCCCTGCTTAACAGTTAAAATTTCTCAGAATCTGGCCCATTTGGGGTGTTTAGGAACCAATAGTGGGGTAGGTTAATTTTCCCTTGGACATCAAGGCAGGCTGCAAGGAGGAAATGACATTTAAATAGCTCCCGAAATATGAGGATGAATTTGAGGTTGATAAACAAGAGAATTTCAGGCTGAGGATATGGGGAGAACTTTCTGTTAATCCCAAAATATTTTAATTCCTCATCTTTCAGCTTGATGCTGGGCTTTGTGGTTTGTTGTTTTTGTTTTCGTTTTGTTTTGCTTTCTATTTCAAGCAGGCCACTTTAATGAGCCAAGCTGTGGATGTCTCCTTTGTAAATGACGTTGAAAGAAAATGTGGAGTGAGGTCTGGGATAGTACCCAGAACTGTCACAAGGTTTTCAGGACAAGCAAACCAAGCCAGGAGGTAGCATCATCATACCATGTGACCACATCATGCGATCATGAGACAGCAACAACACCTGGCATCCAGATAGCAGTTCATACTTTTCCAAGCACATTGACATCCATCATCTCACGAGGTGCTACATTTGAAGAGACTAAGATTTGTGGACAGAGTAAGTTGCAGGTGCAGTTAGAACACACTCTGACACCAGCCTGCTGTGCACACATCCCAAGCCCACCACCATTCTGTGGTCTCAGGGGCTTCCTCCGGTCCCTTAATGTGAGTGGGGATGATAGGTCCTTCCTCCATGGGGGGTTGCCAAGAGTCAAATAGTTTAATAGGACAGTACTTGGACTCTGATAAGAAGTAGTCCCTGAAGGTTAGCTGGTGGTACCATCACCATCTTCATCATCATCCTCATCTTTGGTTATGTAAATATAAAGCAGGCTTTATGTAGAAAAGGATCATTTTGACCTCTGCGTCTACTGAGGTTGACTTTGTCCCACTAATTGTAGGCAGTACCTGGAATCTCAGCAGCAACGCACTGAGGGTATGCCATAATCTGAGGCATGAAGATTTCTCTTAGAAACAAGGAGACCTATATTTAAGGGAGATTTATTCAACTTAAAATACTGATGTATATGTGACTTTCATGTTAGCCAACAACTCCTGGACTTGGAAGTGAAGACAAGGATCTAAACTGCATCATCATATTACCAAGTGTATGATGCTGTCTGATGGTTTACATACCTCATTTCACCTTTCCAGGGATAATAAAAGAGATGCAAGTACAAATTTTCTTTAAAGGTTGCTTCAGAATCTCTAATAAGTTTGTACATTTGAAAGCAAATAGAGATGTTGGTGTTGCACTCAGGGCTTTTGCTTCATGAATCATTGTAGAATTAAGAAGACTAATTGTATACTTGTGGGGAGCAACTGGGAGCAACTCGGACTAGACTAAGTTACTGGAATTAAGACTTATTCTATGCATCTGCTTTCCCACAATATGGCGCTGGGAGAGGAGAAAACAGCTTCTACACAGCTGCCTCCAGTTCAACCAATAAACTGTAGGACTTACTCCTGATTGGAGGAGAGCAGCGTACTGGGCGTGTGGGTAGCAGAGTTGGGATTGGCGGAAGAGGACTATAAAGGAGGAGAGAGACACCATGCACTGGGAACATCTAAAGGGAACATCTATCTGAAGGAACACCTGTGCAGCCCCCGAGAGAGCCGGCCAGCGGTGTGCCGCTCCGCCGCGGAAGTGGGGAATGTGGCAGGGGGAACCGCCCTTCCACGGAGGTGGAAGGGACGGTAGCCAACCCGGGAAGAACCAGCAGCAAACCCGGGGAGGGCCGAGCAGACAAAAGAACAGCGCAGGGTCCTGTGTCGTTCCTCCGCGAAGACGGGGAGCGACATATACTTCCCATGGAGTATCTTCCCTCTGTCTAGTTAGGAGTAGTGAGCTTAGATCAGGCCAAGGGCAGAACACTGTCTTGAGTGTCATCAGTTTATCAGAAATGATGTCACCTCTCTTCCAGCCCACAGGGCTGAGTCATATGGAGCAGACTCCTGGCCTCAGTTGTGAGGCCTCTCCCATGATAGGTGAGGTCCACAGTGGTTAAAGAAGGCACCATGACCATTCAGGTTAGTGTCCTTAAAGCACATGCACCACAAACTGGCTTCTGCATTCTGGGACCGAGACGGACACAGATGCACTGTCGCACATAGTTCAGCTTTCTCCACAAGCAATTGGTAGTGCTCAAGAGAACATGCCATCACCCTGGGTGGAATTTCAGGGCCCAGACTCCTCCTTGTCCTCACCCCTTCCTCCCTCATCACATCCATCTTGCAGCTCAGACACGCTGTGTTCTCAGGACTGCACCCTAATTTGACCTGTAGCCCAAGCAAGACTTGATATGAAGTTGAAATTTCTGGAGGAAAAAAAATCATAATCGAAAGCCCCAAACGGAAAGTGTTTCTTCAATCTTAGACAAATTTGTATTTTCAACCCCAGTGCACAGTAATGTTAGTAAAGCTAATGGAGAGTTAGTTATGTATACATTTTACTTCCATTATAAAGTAATTAAGAACTGTCATAATTGTAACCTTTTTCATATTTTCATATATTTGTGCTCTCTAAAATTAGAATGACTAAATACTGTCATTTTAAAACCTAGTGAGCAGGGAGAAAATAATTCTAAAAATGCACGGAGGGTTTTGGCTACTACCCTGCTTTGTCCTTGCTGGTGACATGTTAGTGCTGTGATATTATGATGCATTGCTTAGTGTGGCAATTACCTTTGTCACAGCACATCTCGTTTTCAGTGCTTGAGATGTCTGAACAAAGTAATGAGATAGGGAATCTGAATTTGATTTCATTGAGTATTGATCAAATGTATGACTGACTATAAAAGATAAACTGAGTTGATTATTTCATGATATATAATTCAGGAGCAAATGATTCATATTTTTAATTTAAATTCTTGAAAGGGGCTTTACATTTTCACCTAAATATCCTGTACAGATAGCATTTGTCGATTTCTAGAGATAATAGTTTGAAGCTGTTCTGAATATATAAAATTATTTCCTTCGCTAAAGTACATACTCAGGAATGTTCATCAGGGCCAATTTATACAGTGTCTTTGAAAGACAAATAATTAGGACCTGTAACTATTTTCCTTTATGCATCATGTCAAATTATTTATATGAAATTAAAGATTTTACTTTATTCTATTGACATTTCAAAGTTCTACATACTGTTGTATCTGCCTTAACCTTTCTTACCCTTGAGACACATTATCATGGAAAGGAGGCATGACCTATGCAACCACTGAGTCCAGGTGGACTATCTAGAAAGAAATGGCCAAAGCCAGCCTTAGTGGGAAGCTGCCCATCACTGGGAAGAATGGTGACCACAAACCCCAGAAAGGCTTTCCACCATCATTCACCGTCCTCTGTGTAGCTGCAACCTTCAGAAAGGATCAAGGGTGAAACCCTTGGCCACCATTCATCACTGTCCACCCAGTGCTTACTTCCTCCTCCTCCGTGTGGTTGCCACTGCCCCCAACCCCACCCCCTACCTTCATTCCACAGACTCTCCTGTATCTCAGCTTGCCCATGGTCTGGACCTCGCATCACAATGACAGAACATGATGCTAGCATCCCGAATGGCATTCTGTAGCTCCTGGCCACAACATCTTGTATCTGATTGGGCCTGGAGCACCATCACTGCAGACTGAATGATCTCTTTGCAGGCCATTGAAAGCCTCACCATCTAGTGCACACTGTTTTCTTGGGACTTTTTTAATTAAAAGATAAAGAATTACAATTTTACTTTTGTTATGTCCTTCATGATGAAAACAGGGCTGAATGGTGATGCTCTTATTTCCTTCCATGACATATTTCCAGTTTAGATTCCAAAATACCAAGTATTACCCATATTAATTAATCAACTTATTATGCAATGTCCAGTGGCAAGTGTTTCTTTTGTTCTGTTTTGGTTTTTTGCTCCATCACAGACTCAGAATGGGAAGGTTGTACGTAGTCAAGATTATGTGAACAGATGTTATTGAAAAGAGGACACATTTTATGCAAAAGTGATCCTTTCACATTGACTCTAGGGCCTCATTTGAAAAATAAAGTCAAATTCTATTCTTAAAAAGAAAGAAAAAAGGAACTTGAAAATGCTCATAGTCTGTATGAGCTAGGAGCAAGGGGGACCTCACGGATGGCACAGTGGTTATCCTATAGGCTCTGTGCATGATTACCTTCCACCGAAAAAGAACTGCCTTGTACAAAGAAATATGAGAAAATCTGCATTAAACAAGGTTTTGCCCCCTCACACTTTTCCTACTCAACTACCTTTCAAACATGCATAATGGATACGATCAAATATAATTCCACTCTTCTCCTTGTCCCCAAAGTGAGTATTCAATTGGATTGAAGAAAACATACATAAAAAGAAAATGAGCAAACGCTTGCAAGAATCCCACTGAAATAGAAATGTAAGAAAATAAGACACAGTTTCATGAGCAAAGTGTAATTGAATTATAGGGTCAAGACCTGATTATCATTTCTCCATCACTTATCATATCACCATATTAGCAGTACCAATCTTAAAACGCTGTCTTCTTTTTGTTCTCCTAATGTGTATTGCTGTGATAGCAAATATTACTATTCATCTGAGATTATATGAGATCAGGATGAATTCTACATTGTAAAATGAGCTATTAATATTTTAAACACCGTCTACCCTGTCTACTGTTCTGGCAGGGAGATATTGCATCACTCTTTACACAATAGAATTTGTCACTGATTGGAAGGTTTTGAGTGTCTCAGCATCCAAATCGTGAAGAAAGAGGTAGGATTATATTAACACAACCAACGTGCATCAGAAGGTAGAGTTTTAAATTATTTCAAATGGTTCTGATATTGTCAGATCCAAAAATAACTCCCTGATTAACTAATTTGTCTCATAAGAGATGTCTCTATGTAGGTCAGGATGAGATCATTTGAAAAATCTACTCCTTTGAGAACTTTGAAACGGCTGGAGTTGAATTATATGGTCATTTTATTTCTCAGAATTCAAAGCGTAGATGGCTGGAATCATGTGCATGTGATAATTCTGGGCTACTCTCAATAAATAATACATGTCATTTCTGCTTCACTGAGACTGTCACTGACTGCTCTAAATGACTTTCAATGCAGGGCCCAGCCTACTCTCCCAGAGTGCACTTCAGCTCAATTCCAAACCTGAAGGGTCTTTCCAGTATCCGGCCAGCTACCATAGCAACCAGACCCTGGCCCTGGGTGACACAGCCCCTTCGCAGCTCCCAGCCCGCAGCACACAAGCTCGAGCTGGGGGCCAGAGCTTCAGCCAGGTAGGTGCCCTTTGCTGCATTGGGGTTCCTAGGGAACAGGTGGGGACCAGGGGTGTGTGGTGGACCATCCTGCCTTCTGCAGGCGTGTCCCCAACTTAGGGAAGCTGCCCTGCAGTGCTGTGAATGAATGAGAGCAATTATAAAATGTGATTATAGAGTGACCTGAATGGTGAACACATTTTCTCTGGGAGTGTCTGCATCACTCACACTGAATCCCTCTGATCTGTATGAATACGTGAGCGTGCATCGGTTACTCTATCTGTGCCTACGTGTGATACAAATAGGACATAGAGACTAAGTTGTGAGTGTACCTGGAAAAATAGTATTTTTTCTCCTACAGACAAAAGTGTATTATTCCCTGAGATTAATCATATCAGGTAACAGTGTAATTGTGTAACCAAGTAGACAGAGCTATTCTGAAGATAATTACACTAGTTTAGGAATAGTTAGACTTTGCCAAGTCTGATTTTGAAATGTACCCCGAATTGTTCTTTAAGGCATGTAATTTGTTCTTCTGCTTTTACTGCACAAATTTATTAATTACAGTTAAAACTGACTCTTTATAAAAAGGAAGCAGCTGCTATTTGGGAAATTATTTTTTCAAGAAAGATGCAAATGTACTACATAGGAGTGTGTACATGTATATGTGTGAATTGGGTATATAGATTTATAGTCTGTGTGTATATATATTGTGTGTATGTGTATATATAATGTATATGTATATGTAGTATATGTATATAATGTCTGTATATCCATTTGGCAAATTTTTTTTCAAGAAAGATATAAATGTTTGACATAAGCATATATGTGTGTGTATATATAGTGCGTGTCTATGTAGTGTTTATGTGTATAGATATATAGTGTGTGCATATATATGGTATTTGTATGTGTGTAGCTACATTGTATGTGTAAGCATGTATATACATATGGAAAATTATTTTTTCAAGAAAGATGTAAATGTACTGCATATGAGTGCATATGTATGTTGTGTGTATATTGTATGTGTGTATATATATGGTATATGTAATAGTATGAGTGTAGATAGTGTGTATATTGTGTATGTATATAGTGTATATAGTATGTGTATATATATGGTGTGTGTGTTGTGTGTTATGTGTGTATATATAGTGTGAGTATATATTTATATGGTGTGTATTGTGTGTGTATATAGTGTATAAATATAGTGTGTGTGTGTATATATATATATAGTATGTGTATATCTTGTGTGTGTGTGTTATGTGTGTATAACATTTTGGTCACAGAATTTTGAGGTGCAAGATATATTTGATCAAACTGCCAGGGTTAATATATTAGAGCTACCTTGACGTAAGCCTTTTTAAATTTGTCTTCACTGGCAATAGGCCCTTTTAGTTTTTGTGCTTCTGTTCATAGAATGAAGCCAGCAACACCAAAACCACCCATTTGGAGGAGGAGTTTGGGGTTCTTTCCACATTTGCTGAGCACGGCCTCTGCCTTGGGCCCTTCCCTGGATTGCTCCCCAACATCTGTCCCTGTAACCTCGGAGTCCAACTCTGTCACAGTTTATTGCTCTTAGTCATCCCACCTCTCATTCAATTAAACTGAAAGCTACCTGTGGGCAGGGCTGTATTCATCTTTGTATCAGGAGCACCTAACTGGCCACATGGCCCCAAGCTCTGTCTGCAGAGAGGCAAGGGCAGGCCAAATGAGAATGGCCTAGGGCCAGCATTGCAGTCAGCTCACAGATATGACACTGACATTACTGAAGCACAAACTGAAAGCTCTCCTTACATTTCCATTATTAATGTTAAATTATTATTCCAACAACATTTTAAAAGTATGATTGCCTTCTTCAAGCAACACCCTTGTCTGTGAATACCTTTGTCCCTTTTACATTCTTGTGATGCGGAGCTATAAGAATGTGGATAAAAGGAAGTGGTTAAAACAGTCCACTGAGATGCAGCACCTGTCCCTTACCTCACATTAAAAGTGTGCTTTAATGTTTAATCAGAGAGTGTTACTGACTTGTAAAGGTAGCAAAGCTATGAATTCAAAGGCATCGCAGCTGTAGATTGAAGTCATCATTAAATGTGAGTGTGGAAGGCTATAACTCACCCTTGAGGCAGAGGTTACTGGTACACTGTCTTGCCCAGATGGAAGAATGAGCAAGTCTGAATTCTCAAACCAAGAGTTGAAAGGTTCTGATGCAGTTGACTAACAAAATTGAGACCGTCTTGAAGTCTTGTTTACTCAGCTCAGCAGTGGATATTGGTACCATGATTTGCTTCAGCTGTGTGCTGCAGTATGCCAGGCATGTTTTATTGAATAGTCTCCTGGACCTGTGACTTCAATGTAATGTTTGAGAAATGCTGGACAAGTAAGCCAGCATTTTTACTCTGTATTTAGTGTGATAGCCTTGAAAGCAGAGAGCGATATCCCATTCCAGCAATGCCTCCATTGTTCAGAACGTTGAGTGGTTTTTCAAAGCCTGTGATACATTTTGTCCAATATTCTGAGCAGTGTTAAATCTCATTTTCTCAAGGCTGGAATAATTTTTAGAATATCCCATAGTCATAAAGTATGATGAGTGCAAGGAATGTTCAAATTATGACTAACAGATGCCAGGCCAAGTGAGTAAGGTCAATAATCTATCAACATAAAAACATTCCTTTTTTGTCTAAAAAAATTGTGTAATTTTAAAGTAAAGCAAATGGTTTTCTATCTGGCTTATAAATTACTTCTGAATGCAATTTCAGAGGAGTATCGTAAATGTTCGAAGATTCTCATTTCTATTTTTAAGGCTGTGGTTTATCTGACATAATAAATGGGAATGGAACGATCATCGCCAGGCTCTGTGATGGGCGCTGGTGATCTGTGCATGCCCTGCCTTGCCCCATTATGCCAGCCCCAATGTAAAACTACAAGCACACAAACCTTATGAAATACCTGTGCTCTGCTGTTACTCAACTTAAACCCTTGGAAGTTGTTCTTCTCTGACACTAGGGTGAGTTCATGGGGCTGGACTGGAGCAGAGAGAGCACCACCCTTCTATCAGACCCCAGCACTGTGAGCTGATGTATAGTATTCCCTTCCCCCACTCTGCTCATCAGTTTCTCACCAGCTGTGTAGGCCACTCCTCCACTTCTCCCTTGTTCCTTCAAGTTAACCTTGCTTTTGTGCCCCAATCAAAACAGAGTGGCTCTTACCTGTCACATTTGTTTATCTCTGGGGTATTCACTGATGCATTCAAGATGTTGAGTCGGTGCCTGCTGCTGCCATGAGCCTTTGTGTTGGCATGGAGAAGTAAAAATAATAACACATTTTCTGTTACTTAGGTTCCAGCAGCAGGGATGAAGACTCAGAAAATGACCATAGTGAGTAAGCAAATGGCATAGTTTATCCAAAGGTGATGTTTTCTGTGGGGAAGAAACAGATACAGAATAGGTTTCGCAAGATCCCAAGGATGGGATGGAGTGAGTGTAACCCAGAACCTCACAGAGAAAGGAGTGGTTCGAAAAAGACATGAAGGAGAAGGAGGAGTGAGTTATGTGGCTGTCTTGGGGACAGCAGATGCAATGAGCCTGGATAGAGCAGCCTGGCCTGTGACAAGTCAGCAAGACTAGCCAGAACAGGGTGCTATAGTTTGCAAGGTGATAGGAGCCCAAGTTGATCATTGTGATCTTTTACTTGGAGTGAAGAAAAGAGATAATAGGAAGTTTGGAGCAGAGCAGCAAGACCTGCTTTGTGTTTTAAAGGCATCATTCTGCGGTATCATATATAAGATCCTATAACTATAGGACACAAGTCATTTCCTCCCATTAGATATCCCCGCTGCAAAGGGTGGATATCATACAAAATCAATCTCCACATCCCTAGGAGCTGGGCCCAGGGTTCACCAAATATTCTTCAGGTTCCTCCATCACCAGCCAAATTCTTTATAATTTGATTGCACAGACTTCTGGGTAAGTAGAAGAAAAAGACAATGGCTCTCCTTCAGGTTTTGTCAGCTTGCATTCATGTACAGTTTCCTACATGAAAACCTGAATTTAAGACTTCTGGCAAAGAGGAGATACCCAAAAAATGTTGGTTTCTCCTCAACTCCAAACAGAAGATAGCCTCAGAAAGCAATGCATCTCTCAAAGAAACAAAACATACAGGGAATGCAAAAGTCTACACATGCAGATAGAGCACTGACAAAGTGGAGCAGGAGCCCAAGATTGTAAAGCCATCCGTGTGCTCCCTGCAGAACTGAAGTTGGAGCACAATCGTAATCCTGGGGAAATGGCCTGCTGGCTGCAGGAAATTAACAACTCTATGATAATTCTCTAAAATGAAACTGAACAATAGTGGATATCCTAGAAAAGCAATCAGCTTTGTGAGAAGCAGAATTGCTGTTGCTTTTTGATCCGGCCTGTCTATTTAATGCTGCACTCACTTTTATGTCTCAGAAGTCCTCATTTGTGCTATATCGTAATTATAAAGACACCATCTGCTCACCTCTGCCAGAGGCTGATGTGTTCACTGTGTTTGGGACATTACTGGTGCTTATTGGTGCACGTTCACATCAGGCAGAGGCAAAAGACAAGGAGACAAGGAACTCTGGGTGGTGGTAGAGAGACCCCAGAGCAGGCCACAGAGACCCACACTGTGAGAGGAGGAGCAGCTTCCCAAGGAACACCCACCGTAGTCCATTGTGGAATGACAAGGGTTATGGGGACAAGTGCTGTGACCGCACTGCAGTTTGCTCAGTTGTGAAAGACATCCTTGGGTAATACACGTTAAGAGAAGAGTCACCCATACACGTGGAAATCACAAAATCGCAGGGGATTCTTAGCATAGAAT